GCCCCCCGCCGGGGCTGAGAGGTGATGGAGAGGCGCTCGGTGTCGCTAGGCGAGCTCCAAGTGATTCCTTTCCGCCGCCGGGGTCGCGGAGGAGTCAGGGGTGAGCTCTCGGCCTCCCCGACCCGGGACTGCGGGGACTAGGCAGCTGGGTTAGGGGGAGACGAGGAGACCGGGGCTGCCTGCTTAGGGGAGCTGCTGGGGTCCCTGGGAGGAAGCCGTGTGCTTCGAAAGTACATGCACCGGGTCCCATTCTGTTGGTCCCTTTCGCCCCTTTGCCCCCCCCGCCCCCAGCCAGGGCCAGGGGCACGCCACTCCCCAGTGGGGGAGGGCCAGCTGCTGCTCGCCCCCTCCCCCAGCTGTTGTCTGCCGTTATTGGAGGGGCAGGACTACTTCTCTTGGGATGGACCACCTGACAGATTGGCAGAAAAGCCAAGGATTCCCCACTTCTCCATCCAGGAAACAGCCCCTACCTCCCCAATACTTTTCCTGGGGCAGGTGCCCGTTCCATGCCCTCCCTCTCTTTCTTCTGTCAGGCAGGAAACTGCCTATTCTCCCCAAGGAAATTGAGGCACAGGCTTGAGGGGCCCCACAGTGCTAACCTCACCCTCACTCCGGGAGGGCTGTCAGAGAGGGCCACTGATTTGGGGGGCTGGAGGAGGGAACAAGACGGCCAGCGTCCATGCCACGCCACTGCAGCACTGGCCGGCGGCCAGGCCGGAGGGATGGACGAGGAGACAAGCCCGCAGGAGAGGCCAGCACAGGCTAAGTAGCAGGGCGCACCCGTCCCCTATTGTCCCAGCCTGGTGGGGTGCGGTGGAGTGGGCTGAGGTCATGGGAGGAGTTCAGGCAGGGGGCCTGCTGGTCCTGGTTGAGGAGCTGGCCCTAATATCTGCCTCCGCCTGGGTGGGGCACAGCCCATTTCTGAACTCTCAAGCCCTGTGATTAGGGGAGCATTTTCTACCCCTACCCACCCCACTTCCCCCTAACTCCCCATCAGCAGAACTCCAGCCGCCTGGTGCCTGGGGCGGGGGTGGGGGGGCTCACAACCATTGCCGCCTCACATCCTGGCTCCCACCCCCCAGCAGCACCCATGTGGCCACAGCGAGTTATTCATCGCTGGCGTGCGTCACTCCCCCCCACCCCCAATCTGGGTTGTGTGTGGGACACACACACACACAGATGTACACACACCCCCTAGCACATACACACATTTGTTCCCTCCCAAGGAGCCTAGCTAACATTTGGCCAGAAAAAAAAAAAAGGTGTGAGGCTGTAACAATACAGTCTGGGTGTGGGGGGGTGGCGTGCAGGGCAGATGTGACACCCCCATCCCATCCCTTCTCCACCACAGCCAGCGAACAGTGAAGTCTCAAGACTCAGGCCAGACTTGGGTCCTCGGGGTCAGGAAAGGGGTGTCTTGGGTAAAACTGTGGCCCGACCCTCCTTCCTGGCTTCTGGGCTTGTGTGGCAGGGCTTCTGAAGGGCATCTGAGTTCTGGCTCCAGGAGGTCAGCTGGTGTGGTGGGAAAGACCAGTACTGCCCTACCTCTGATGACATGGCAAGCCCTTGTCCCTTTGGTCCTCTGTTCACTGGTCCAAGTGAAGGAAGGGGTGGGACTCACCCAGGTCTCCAGTGTGTGACTGTCCGAGGGCCTCCACCTGGTCCCAGCATTGCCCGGAGCTGCTCATGCCTCACCCTCGGCCAGAGTCTCTGGCCCAGGTGGTCTCTAAAAGTTGTGTCGGTTGGTCTCACCAATTACCTCCTGGTGCTGCTCAGTGCTGGGCCCTGGGAGCCAGAGTGGTATGTGTTGATTGTTAAGAGGCCTTGTCCTGGGATGCTTAACAACTAGGCAGTGTCTCCAGGGCCCGGAGCTGGTGAGATGGGTAGATTCTGACTCCCTACAGGGTTCATCAGCTCCCCCCTTCTCCCTCAAGGATGTGTACGATGCAATCTCGGGGTCTGAGACGGGTACAAAACCAAACCAAACCCTTTGCCAATGAGTTACTTCTAACTCCTAGTGACCCAGTATTGGGTTTCTGAGACAGACAGCCTCATCTTTCTTCTGAAGAGCGGCTGGTGGGTTTGAACTGCCTACCTTGTGGCTAGCAACCCATCGCCTGACCCCCAGTGTCACCAGGACTCCGATGTCTCTAGAACCCCCCTGGTGTGGGGTATGGGAAGTAGTCTACAGAGCTGTCACAGAGACCTGGAAGGGTTTCCATGAAGCGGGTGGGGTGCAGAAGGTCTGGCCTTCCACTCGAAGGGTACCCCCCCCCATGATCAAAGGCAGGAAGATCACAGGAAGCCGCTCATTGTGACCCAAGGGTTATAGAATGGACAGGCGGCTGGTGTGGAAGGCAGGCTGGTGCCAAGCTCAGGGTAGAAGGGTTTGCTGGGAAAGATGTGACTGGGAGGAGGGCTGGCCTTCTTGGGAGGAGTAGGAGCTCTGAAGAGGCTCGGACTCCATCTCCCAGGGAGGAGGGACATCCAGTATCCTTGGATTCTGCCTCAGTTTCTCATCTGTGGGATGGAGAGGGGCAGGAGGACCCTGCTTCTCTGAGGGTCCTTTGTTCCCAGTGGTGGGTAAGGGCAGGGACAGGTGGTGAGACAGCTGTGCTAGGAAGCAGCTGCCAGGGCTGGAGTGGGGGCAACAGTTGGATGGGGGACTTGGGCCCACCTGTGTCCTGTTCAGGGGGGCGGGGGGCTGGGGGCCATTTGACGCTGGCAACCACTTGTTCTGATCTCATGGGGCCAAGGCTTCCCTCCCTCCTCCCCTCTTTCATTGTCTTTCAGTCCTTCATCTTTACTTCCCCCTTTCTCTTGCCTTAGTCTCCCAGTCCCTGATCCCACCCACCCACCCCTTCCACTTCCTTGAGCTCCGCCTCTCCTTAGTAGGGAATGGGAGGGTGGGGAAGGGTCCTAGCTTTTCTGAACCCAAGGGACAAGGTCCCTCTTCCGCCAGCCCCGGTCTTTCCTCCCCTGTGAGCATGCATTGGGAGGCCCCTAGGCCCTCCTCGGGAGATGGATGCCCTGCTCGGGTCACCTGGGAGAACAAGCCAGACAGCCAGAGCTCAGAGCAGGGTGGAGCACAAATGCTGGTTCAGCGTTCCCAAGAAGCTGGGGCGGAAGGGCTCACAGTCCCAGGAGTCCAGGGAGGAGGCTGCTTTGCTGTTGGAAGGCCAGAGAGCCCTGGGCTGCTAGAGTCTGGGAAAAAGTGATGGCACTGATCTCATCCCCATTTCTGAGAGGAGGAGATTGAGGCTGAGGGCTGGTCCCTAGGGCCCTTTGTGCTAGATGAGAATGCATTCGGGTGGGCCACTACTGTGCCAATTGCCAGGTCGCCATGGTAACCGGGGGATGCCCAGAGCCATTAGAGCACCAGGTTCTCTCCTCCCTCTCCCTCCCTGCGGGGGGAGGGGCATGCGGGTACTCAGGCACGCACCAGGTAGGCTCCTGGTGTTGGCCAATGGGAGCTAAGGAACACGGTAGCCAGGGAACGGTAACCAGGGTAACCAAGGAACCGTCGCCTAGGAAGCCTCATCGTATGCTCTGCTCTGTGGAAAGCAGCCGGGCCAGGGCTGGGGACCTGCTGGATCGGAGGCGCTGAGGCTGAGCAGGCAGCGATGGATTTCTGCCCCCAGTTCCTACTACTACCCACCCCCCAACTCAGGCCTCTCTCCGAGGGGCTCACAGCCTGCCTCCTGCTGGGCTCCAACCAGGAATGGTGCCCAGCGCTGTCGCCATGACAACACTGCCAGGGCTGGTCTGGAACCCCCTGCTGCCCTGGCCCCTGCACCTCCCTCCCCTTCCCTCTCCCCAGAGCCATCTCCACCCAGAGTTGGCTCCTGGGCCCTGAGAGTTCTTCGAGCCACCCCTCCCTCTCCCCAGGGCCCTGTACACTTACGAGGATGGCTCAGATGACCTCAAGCTCGCAGCGTCAGGAGGTAAGAATTCCAGCATTCCTCCCCCTTCCTCTCCACCCCCTCCTCTGGTTGTTTTCTTCCCCACCCGCCTGGCTCTGGGCCACCTTCCTGCCTGCATCCTCCAGCCCTACACTTAACTGGCTGGTGTCCTTCCTTGGTCATCCTGTTATCCGGAGGCTGGTGGGGAGGGGGAGCCTGAGACTGAGGAGACGCTGGAGCCCTGGATGGGAGGGAAAGTGCCTGCTCAGAGGCACACAGCTAGAAGGAAGGGCCCAGTAGGGTTGTGCCTGGGAGCTCCTGCTCTCTCCAGAGCCCCTCTCTCTGCCCTGTTTTCTCCAGAAGCCACCCCACCCCCACTGCCAGCCCCTCTCTCTCCAGAGCACAAGGGCTTTGCTTCACACTGTTGACTTAGGGCTCCAGCAGGGTAAACCATGAAGTGTGAGGAGGGATGAGGTGTGAAGAGGGCTGGGGAGAGCAGACTCTGTTTCATCCTTCCCCAGCTTAGGCACCTGGTGTGTGTGTGTGGGGGGGTGTTGCTAAAGACAAAGCCAGCCCCTGCCCACCACTCCTTCACACAAAACTGAGCCTCCTTACACCTCAGAGATCAGGAAGCCCCTGGGGTCTGCAGAGCCAGGAGCACTCTCCCCACTGGGGCCCAGGCCCCCTCCTGGGTGGGGAGAGGTGGGAGACAGGAGTCCTGACACTCCCTGCCTCCCCCAGAAGGGGGCTTGCAGGAACTCTCGGGCCACTTCGAGAACCAGAAGGTGATGTACGGCTTCTGCAGCGTCAAGGACTCCCAGGGTGCTCTGCCAAAATACGTGCTCATCAACTGGGTACGCAGCTGCGGGCCGGGGAAGGAAGGGCACAGAAGGTCCCAGAACAGCCACCTCCGCCCATGGACCCTGTGGGGGAGCCCCAGCCTGCTGACTCTGTCCTGACTCCTCTTCCATGGGCACCTTACAGGTCGGTGAAGACGTGCCTGATGCTCGCAAGTGTGCTTGTGCCAGCCATGTGGCTAAGGTGGCTGAGTTCTTCCAGGTGCGTGTGGGGTCAGGGCCAGCCATCGGCGGTGGGGAGGTGGGGGCCTGGGAGTGGTGATGGGGCCACAGTGCTGCCTGACCACAGCCTTCTTGCCAAAGGGTGTCGACGTCATCGTGAATGCCAGCAGTGTGGAAGACATAGATGCGGGAGCCATCGGGCAGCGGCTCTCCAATGGGCTGGCACGGCTCTCCAGCCCTGTGTTGCACCGCCTGCGGCTACGGGAAGATGAGAACACCGAACCTGTGGTCAGTGTGGGCCTGGGCTGGCGGGCCCTCCTTTGTCCCTCAGAGGGCCCATTCTCAGGGCGGTTCCCAGAGCCCCCAGCCTGCTCCCCACACTGAGACCCCGCAACTCGACCCTGCAGGGCACTACCTATCAGAAGACAGACGCTGCCGTGGAAATGAAGCGGATTAACCGAGAGCAATTCTGGGAGCAGGCCAAGGTGCGAATCCCGTCTTCAGGCCTTCAAACTGAGCTGACTTCCCCTGGCCCTTGGGGGTCCTGTGAGCCTCTCTCCTGCCCCTTGGCCCCTGTTTTAGCAGCATGCCTAAACAGAGAGCGGTCGCCCATCCCCAGGGAGCTCTGAACCAAGCCCTCCTCCCGCTCAGGGTTGGGAAGGGATGGGGGCCTGGCCCCGGGCCCCGGGCCCCCAGCTCAGGCCTGTACTTCCTTGGGGTGGGGGTTGCAGAAGGAGGAGGAACTGAGGAAGGAGGAGGAGCGGAAGAAGGCCCTGGATGAGAGGCTCAGGTTCGAGCAGGAGCGGATGGAGCAGGAGAGGCAGGAGCAGGCTGAGCGGGAACGGCGTTACCGCGAACGAGAGCAGCAGATCGAGGAGCACAGGTGCGGCCCTGCCCCTCCCGGCCGCCACCCAGGCCCAGCACGCCCCCCCAGCCACCCACCCTGACTGCACCCCGACTTCCACTCCAGGAGGAAACAGCAGACCCTAGAAGCGGAGGAAGCCAAAAGGCGGTTGAAGGAGCAGTCCATCTTTGTAAGTTCAGAGCCCAGGCTGCTGGGCAGGCAGGGGCCACTGCTCCTGGTCCTGGGGGGCGGTGGGGAGACCTTGGTACCTTCACATGGCTCTGGGTGGCTCTTGGAGAAGTACTCACGAGTACTTAACTAGGAAGAGAAAATATCCCTGAGGCCCAGGCTACCCCGGCCCCTCCTCGGTGAGGCCTGCGTGACTCGGGGTAGGCAGGCGTTGCTCCTGCACTGAGGGGGCTTCAGGCCTGGTCCCCATGTGAGTGGTGGGGAGCCCTGTGAACGAATGAGCCGGCCCCGTGCTCTGAGTGTCCCCATACAGTGGGTCCCTTGTGGCACAGGTGCCTCCCTTGGGAAGGGCCCATGGGACCTGAGGATAGGCAGTGTGGAGGTGACAGCCAGGGCGTATCTCTGCACTTCAAACAGTTTCACATGCAGAAATCGCACGGGCCCTTCCCCTTCGGGGCCTTGGACACGCGAGACAATGGTGGGCATCAGCTATTGGGCCCCCGGGGGCTCATTCCAGCCCGAAGGCCACACCCAGAAGATAGCCCTGAAGGTGCTAGCATTCTTAACCCTGGTCACATCAGCTGCCTAGTGGGGTGGGTGGAGCTGATGTGCGGTTGGTCCACTCTTGCCCCAGTTAGTCCGTCAGTCAACACATCCTGGCCTCTTGTCCCTGTGAGCACACGACGGGCAAGGTCTTTTTAAAAAATAGTGTATTTTTGGTGAAACTTTTATTAGCAAATGAGGTTCCATTTAACCATGACTGCCCCAATGGTTCAGTGACATTGGTGACATGGGCAAGGTCTTTTTGAGGAAGCTTATTTCAATGGGAGGTTTGACTCAAGATGGTGCACATGGGGACACTGGCGTGCTTGCGCCCACGAACACACGATGCGAGGCTAATACACTGATCCCCCAAACGGATCACTAATTTCCATCCGCCCTCAGCATTTCTGACAAAGCCTTAGGGCCCAGGTCGTGCTGGTTCAGTCTCATCCCGTTCTCTAGGTGCGGCCCGGGTGATGATGGGACTCAGCAGCACCAGTGCTTTCCCTTAGCGTAAGGAGCAGTTCCGTTTCTCTCCTCTTAGAATAAGATTCACATTCCTTGTTTGGGGTCCCTGTTTTCCGGGGCTGCCAGGTAGCTCCCATGAGTGAAGATGCAATGCCTTTGACCCCCGTGACCTCCCCTGTGCATGGCTCTGCTGTGTTGTGGCGCTATTCCCACTGCTGGCAGTTAAAGTGTTTGCGATAAGCTGCCTGTCGCTCGTAGTTCTGAACTCGGCAGAGACCATGCTAGTAGGGCAAAGACCAGGAGCCTGGCTGGGCCCAGGAGGCTGAGAATCAGGGGAAAGCCCATTGGAAGGAGGAAGCAGAGTGTCAAGGGGGGCATTTAGACTTCCTTGGAGTGACAACCCTCTTAAGGGACACATTGAGGGCCCATTCATCCCCATTGTGCATCGTGGCTAGTGTTTAAGGTGGACGTTCTTTGTTCAGAGAAGCCCTGCTTCTTCCCCACTTTACCTTAAAGCCGTTTCTACCTATCCCAGCTGTTCCACTTGTAACACGAGCCGGGGAGGACAAGCTTGTAACAACAAGCAAGGGGAGGAAGAGGCTTTTAGGGTAGTGAGTCTAATTGAGCAAACATGAATCAACTTGGATCGCAGGACCGGCCATTCCCATGCACACCTGAGTGCCCTCTGCCGTTGATGGTGGTATGGGGGAGACCACCCCGGAAACAGGAAAGTACGATTCAGTGTCATCCCTGCTGTATGCCAGAAGCACCCGCCCCACCTGGAGAAGAGACTGCCAGGGCTCTCAGGGACCTTTATCCAAGGTGGTGGTGCCCAGGTTGGGGTGAGGAAGTGGGAGGAGTCACACCTGGGGGTGGGTCAGCCTTTGGGGAAGAGACTTCCATTCCTAGGCATGGAGGTGGGAACTGAGCATGTGCCAGGAACTGACTGCTTCATCACCAAGCCCATCACATCTGAATCTCAAGAATGAGGAAGTGGGTGGGGGTGGGATTTCGACAAGGCCTGGGGCAGATCAGCAAGGGGCCTGACCAATGAGGTGGGGGCCGGTGGGGGTGGGGGTGTTGAGTGACTCATCCCGGAAGCAGAGCACAGTGCGTTGGGAACAGTAGTGTTCTGGACAGACGGCACATGCCCAGCACAGTGGCAACAGAGTTCTGTCCGATGGGTGCTTTGAGAGAACATCGGCCGGTGTCGCTAGCGCAGCTGGCATTTCAGGAGTGATCCAGATTTCAGTGTGAAACTTCTGGATTTTGAAGTGGTGGCAGTTGGTTAGCATTTTTACACACACACGTACCAGCCATATACCATCTGTGGCATCTTCGGCAGCGTTAGCTGTGGCGCACGGGAATCTTGGAGGGATTTTAAACAAGGAAAAATCCGATTTGCGATTTTAAAAGTCCTAATGGGCCTATCCTCAAATACATACTGCCAGCGAGTCGCTGCCGGCCCATGGTGAGTGACCCTGTAGGACAGGGTAGAACTGCTCCTGTGAGTTTCCAAGGCTGGAACTCTATAGGAGTAGAAAGCCTCATCTTTCTCTCAAGTTGGCTGGTAGGTTTGAACTGCCGGCTTTCTGGTTAGCAGACCAACATGGGTCCACTGTGCCACCAGGGCGCCTGTAACGATGCGGCAGGTTTGATGTTTGGCTGCAAAATCAACGGTTCAAACCCACTGGTCACTTCAGGAAGATCCATAATTTGGGAAAACCCCGTACAAGGTCGTCGTGCATCAGGATTGACACGATGACAGTGGAGTTGGCTTTTTTGGGGGGGTGCAGTGGGGGAGTTTGGAGCCTATAGAGAGCAGTCATGGCTGAGAGTCAGGCTGGCGAGGGGGCCTCTTCCCAGGGTCTAGGCCTAGGTGGTACTGATGGGAATATGGAGGGCAAAGCACTGGGGTGGGCAGACCCTGGAAGGAGGAGGGCACTGGAGGCCAGGGTGGCTGTGGAGACGGGAGACGGCCAAGCTAGCCGAGTACCCAGGGCCTGGCCAGCGAGAGTGGTGAAGGCCTGTGTAACTGGGTGGTGTGGGGACCAGACGTGCCCCCACGGAGGCCCTTCCTGCTCTGGAAGAAACACAGGAGCTGCAAGAAGTCCCCTGGAAGTGTGGGATGCCCAGGACACCACCCCTTTGGCTTTCAGGGTGACCAGCGGGAGGAGGAAGAGACCCAGATGAAGAAGTCAGAATCGGAGGTGGAGGTAAGAGCTGGGAGGGCAGACGGGGGATGTGGGCGGCACCCCTGCAGCCTGGCCGGCCCTGACCCTGACCCTGGCCCTGGCCCTGTGCCCCAGGAGGCAGCTGCCATCATTGCCCAGCGGCCAGACAACCCCCGAGAGTTCTTCAAGCAGCAGGAACGAGTCGCATCAGCCTCTGCAGGCAGCTGCGATGTGTCCTCCCCCTTCAACCACCGGCCAGGTAGTCCCAGCCCCTGGCCCCTCCGCCCCCACTCCTCAGGACTGGGCCCTGAACCTCCTTGGGACTGTTCCTTAGACGGGTAGCCTTCCCCAAAGACCCCTTGGAGAAGGCCGAGGAGACCTGTCAAAATGTGCTTCTACCCACCACTTCCCAGGTGGCAGGGCCTGAGGCAGGCTTGGAGCAAGTGGATGTTGGGCCTTGGCTGTTCAGTGGGTGGTGCCAGGTGGGCAGCGAGCTCTGGCGTGGGCTGAGGCACCTCACTAGCCACATAGAAGGCAGCAGGGACTGGCCCTGCTGGGGTGAACTAGGTCTGGCCTGGAGGAGGGCTGGTGGGGTGGGTGCATGTGGGATGGGCTCTGCCCTGATCCGGAATCAGTGTGGCCTGGGTCTGTATCGGGGCTCCCTGTTCAGCTTCTCCCAATGCAGCTTCTGCCTCCCGAGCCAGCATCCTCTCCCTCTGTCTGTCGGTCCCATTGTGTCGGCACCTGCTGCTGTGTGCAAGCTCTCTGCTGGTGTCTGGGGTGGCGTGGAGTGAGGCGGGGTGGGTGGCAGCTGCTCCGAGAGGCTTGGCTGTGTGGCTGCTGCTGGCGGGAGTTGGCTGCTGCTTGAGGCCGTGGCCCAGCCTGGTTGAGCGAGTGCCCTGGATGCAGGCAGCTTGGACATCCAGGGCCAGTACTGGGGGTGGGTGAGGCCTCTGCACAGGGTCGGGGACACTGACCCTCTCTTGTCCTCTGTCTCTTTCTCTGTCTGTCTCTCTCGGCAGGTCGTCCGTACTGCCCTTTCATAAAGGCATCGGACAGTGGGCCTTCCTCCTCCTCCTCTTCCTCCTCCTCCCCTCCACGGACTCCCTTTCCCTATATCACCTGTCACCGCACCCCAAACCTCTCTTCCTCCCTCCCATGTAGGTAGCAGCCCCAGGCCTCAGCGGGGGGTAAGGAGGGCCCCCGCTTCCCAGCAGCCTCCCTGCCCTCAACCCCCCTGCCCCGCCTGACTGCTGACCTCTGGAATTTGTCCCTAGAGCAGGTACTGCCTGCCTCTTGCCCATGGCCCTGCAGGGCTGCTGGCCCCCAGGGGCCTGGCTTACAGGGTTTGGAGCTGTGGTCTGGCCCCTGGGGGGTCTGGGGAACTCACAGTCTTCACCCAGACTCGAGAGAGGAGGTGCTGGCCAGGCCCCACGGTGAACAGTCCTGGTCCTGCTTATTTCCTGGCCCTCACTGATCACCTGGGGCTTTGTCCCACAGGCAGCCACCTGGACAGCCACCGGAGGCTGGCTCCCACCCCCATTCCTGCCCGGAGCCCATCCGACTCCAGCACAGCCTCCACCCCTGTAGCAGAGCAGATCGAGCAGGCCCTGGATGAGATCACATCCTCACAGCCGCCACCACTGCCACCACCGCTACCCCCAGCCCCAGGTGAGAGCCCCCTCCCCCAGCCCTCCTGCTGGGAAACTCAAGTTGCCGAGGTAACAACAGCTCACGGGGCTGTGGGCTGGTGCAGCATGCTGGCCCTCAGGCAGGGCTGGAGGGCTGAGTGGGAACTCTCCCCTAAACTCTCTCTCTATGGCTCCTCCTGGGTGGGGAGTGGATGGCACGAGATCCATCCTTTTCCAACAAGGGAGGAGATCCTAACTCTCCCCTTGATTTGTGATGTCACAGAGACCCAGGAGCCCATCCCCCAGCCAGAGAGGGAAGAGACCAACCAGGACCCCCAAGCAGCAGCCTCTCAGGCCTGGACCAGACCGGTGGAAGAGTCCCTTTTGGCCCGGGAGCCACAGCAGGAGCAGGGCGGCCTCATGGAGGACTTGATGTTCATAGAGTTTCCAACCCCGGCTGCCCTGGTTGCCCCTCTGGAGCCCACCTCATCGGGCACCCCTGCAGCTGACCCCTCCGGAGGAGCTGATGCAGCTGATACTATCAAAACCGACAAGCCCTCCCCCGCCGCTGCCGGCCTCATTGACCTATGGCCCGGCAATGGGGAAGGGGTTGCTGCACCCCAGGCCTGTGAGCCACAGGCCAAGCCCAGGGCCCCCACACCACCTTCAGGTGCTGAGGTCACTCTGGCGGAGGTGACCCTGCTGGATCAGGTGGCTCAGGAGCCCCTGGCGCCGGTGGGCGAAAGCTGTGCCAACCTCCTCAATTTTGATGAATTGCCTGAGCCACCAGCCACCTTCTGCGACCCAGAGGAGGAAATAGAAGGAGAGGCCCTGGCCGTCGCTCAACCCCAAGTGCTGCCCTGTGCTCTAGAGGAGCCGGAGCCGGAGCCCCAGGTGTTGACCAATGGCGAGACTACCCAGAAGGAGGGCACTCAGGTGGGGGCAGCTGCAGCAGCAGCAGCAGCCTGGGGCAGGGGTGGTAGCCAGGGTTCCAGCAGAGCTGCATACCTCAGCATGGTGGCAGCAGCTCCACCATCCTGTGTCTGTGACCCACATTATTGGGGTGAAGCTCCATTCCACTCCCCCTTTCTTGGCCAGCTCTGCTTTTGTTCCCAAGGCAGGCATCTGTGTTTCCCAGGCAACCACTGATGGAATTGCTGGTTGCCTGGGGAACCGGGCCACAAGCCTGGTAGGTCAGCCTTGTCCTGCAGGGTGGAGCTCAGTGATGTGGTACTTTTTCCTCCTGCAGGCCAGTGAGGGGTACTTCAGCCAATCACAGGAGGAAGAGTTTGCCCAATCAGAAGAGCTGTGTGCGAAGGCTCCGCCTCCCGTGTTCTACAACAAGCCTCCAGGTAGTCTTGGGATGGAGGATGAGGGAGAGAATCAGGGAGGGCGTCCTGGGTTTGACCGGGCCCAGCATATCTCCCTGGAGTCGGGTCGAGGGATACATCCTGGATTTGCTGAGCCATTTCCTGAATGCCCTATCCCCTTGCCCACACCCTAGAAATCGACATCACCTGCTGGGACGCAGACCCAGTACCGGAAGAGGAGGAGGGCTTCCAGGGTGGAGATTAGTGACGCGCCTGCCCTCAGGCTGCTCATGCCAAGGCCGCCCACTTCCTGGCCTCATGGCCCCGCCGCGCCTGCACCGGCAGCAGCTCCGCCTGGCTCCCACTCCGGATCCGGTCCAGGCCCGGACTCGGCCGCTTCCCCACCCACAGGGCCCAACTTCGACAGCTTTTCTCTTTTTATTTTGAAGTGGATAGGAGACTTGTACAGTTGACTGATTATCCTCCCGTTGGTAGTTGAGATGCTGTTGCAGGGTTCACCCTCTTCCCCTGCCGGGTCCAGATTGTAGCTCTTAGTCCTCCCTGCTCAGCTGGCAGGGTGGAGGTCTCCCCCCTGCTTGGGGCCTGGTGTGGGGGAGCTCTGATGGGAACATGTTCCCCCACCTCTTTTCCTAGTTTTATGTTTCTTGGAAAAATATCACTTTGTATTCTCTGTCCAGGGCTTCAGATATTTTGCACGAATTTTAAAACATGGCAATAAATGGCTCGTGGGCTCTGGCTCCCTGGGACCCCCCTCCCTGCCCTTCTCTCGATCCCTACCTGCCTGGCCCAAAGGAAGTAGCAGGCCCAGCTGGGGGCCCTGCCCTTTGCTGCCCCCTCCTGCTGGGCAGGTCCCAGGCTGGAGGCCCTCAGATCCATTCAGGTCAGGGCTATGGGGAAAGGGGGCAGGGCTTGGGGGAGGGGGCCCTCACTGACTCCTCTTTGCTTGGGCTCCTTTTTCACTTTCAGTAACTGTTTTTTGAAAGCACAAACTTCTGTAACGGGTCGTGCTCATGTCTGTTAATAAATAAATCCAGATCCCTTCCGGCCTGCTGCTCCGGGTCTCCAGAGGCGGATCTGGGGTGGGCCGCTGGCCCGGACCACACCGCTACCCTTACCCCTACCCCACCTGCACGGTCGCAGAGGAAGAGGCAGACATCTTAAACCAAGGCTCTGTCTCTGGGGAACCGCTCTGGTTTGGAAAGAAAGCTGACCGCAGGTTAACTCCTCAGACTCAGGCCAGACTTTGGGATAATGTCTTTTGTCCCCCATGGCCCTGGCGGCTGGACCACCAGCTCCCCGGCTGAACCTTGGGTGCAAGCAGCAGCCGCCCCCTCCGGTTGTACCAAAGCAGATCACACACCTTTATTATCCTCAAAATGTAACAAACAGGGTAAGAAATCCCTCCCTCCCCCACCCCAGTCCAAGGGAAGCATTTAAAAAGCCCCGCGGTCGGGCCAGGAGTCCGCGGGTGGGGCCGAGACGCCCCTCTATACGGCTGTAGTCCTCCCGAACAAGGGGATAGAGACCGGCAGGCGCCAAGCTCCGTGCTCCAGGGGCTCGCGGCTGCTGAGCTCTGAGTCGGTCCAGCTAGGGAAGACCCGGCGGCCGCGGTCGGCCTGCAGGCAGAGCGCAGGGCAGGGCGCTGCGGGCCGCGGGGCGCTGGGCAGGTGCAGCGCGGACGTGTAGCCCCGGTCTAGGAAGAGTGGCTTGTAGCTGGGCGGCGGCTGCTCCTGTTTCTCCGCACTGTCGCGGCGGCTCAGAAAGGGCGTGACGATCTTTCGGTACAGGCCCCGCGTGTCCGTGAGCACCTCGCTGTAGGGCGGTGGAGGCTCGGCCATCAGCACTGCCTCTTCGTAGCACGGCGGCTTAGACATGTCCGACTCCGCTGTAGGGTGGGAACGGGTCGGGAGAATGAGGCCAGTTTCCTGGGAGCCGG